GCTCAGTGCACTGCTGACCTCTTTTCAATAGGGGCCAGATTAGCATGCAGCGGTGCTGTGTGGCTCATCGCTGTGGTGGTGGAGGGCTTTTGTCCCCGGTGGTAATCCGCTTGCTCTCAATGCCCCAAACCCTGGTATACGATTTCAAAATAACGTTGGATTATCACCACTTTTGAGAGTGAAAAATGCCGGTAATGCCCAGCAGCCTGGTCTTTTGTTCGGAGTACGGTCTTTTGTTACTGGGCCCTGTTTCCTTTGTCCGAGTTCGGAGACCCCGGCCATGCATATAAACCATACGTCTCCGATTTCGGAGTCCGCGGCTGGTAGTGGTTAAAATAATCATGCGCCACTGTGCCAGAGCTAGCATGTCAAAAGCCTTGAAATCACCTCAGTGTTTGAAGTACACTTTAGATTATTGCAGTTTTCCCCCGTGACTTAACTTGTAAGCCATTCAACAAGCAGTTTAACAATTCACGGAATGATTTTAGGTTCCTAGATTAAATTTTGGAGTTGCTGTTCACATTATGTGAGGGCTCTGCACCCAGTTAAAATTTTTGAGTGTTGTGCCTGGGTGGGCACTATACTCTGAAAAATTCTTGCACATAATGCCTTGGTACCAATCTAGTCCACGCTGATGCAAATTTCATTCACTAGCCTATAGTGGTGAACCCCATGAGACCATGTTTCAGCCAACTAGGGTAAAAAAAAAGCAGGTGTCTTATATATGGGCCCGACTAAGAAAAGCACAAAACAAATTAAAGAAGCTAGTTGAAATGTGCCACTGGAATGTTCGATGTGAGCTGGAGTTGAATTCTTTTGGAGGTCTGTTCATGTTTGATTACCTGAAATGCTGCTTTTCAGTGACATCTCCGACACCTTCAAGTACCCTCTTCCCCCTTGACCTTTTGTTTAGCTGCATGTACTTCCACTTAGCCTTTGGAAATTTCTCATGTGTTCACAGCCTCTTTTACTTCTAGTGATTGGAATTTGTGGGAAGGCGTGTCATTGAAATATAAAATGCTTCAATGTGGATTTTACAGGTGGCCCTAACTCCCAGATGTCCTACAGCAGTCGCCCCGAGGCCCAGCACCCCCAGGCTGTAGGTCGTCGAGACCCCGCCATGTGGCAGCAGTGGCAGCAGCAAGCTGCCGGTGTGGCCGGGGCCAGTACCGGCCAACAGGACAGCCAACAGCCAGCGCCTGAAGAGTTCCACGACATCTACCGCATGCTAGAAGGCCAGCAGGCCACCCAGGCCTACGGCACCCAGGTGGAGGAGTTCAACGACATCCCCATGTTCCCCCCGTTTTCGGAATAGCCCAGCTCACGGTGACCCCGTAACCCCAACCTTGCGACATCCTTCAAAATCTGCCAGGGTGCTTGGCAGGATTTTGCAGGATTGAGGCCAGCCACTTAATACTTGACATGGGTCTTGCCTAAGCTTGAAGTGCCGTGCAAAGAGTGAGTCATTGGTTTCCTGCACTTTGCAAAACTTCCAAGGGTTCTGGGAGTGTCTTTGCAACAAAACTTGAGGGGTAAATGTTTATGTTGGAGAGATCATGTTGAAGAGAATCAATTGTAGAATTTCTAAACTATCTCCAGAATGTTTATGTATATTGGTGTTTGAAACCGTATTCTGGGCTGCACAGTTTACACAACATGAAAGGAGGAGCCCCATTGGATGTCACAATGGGAGGTGATGATTGGTTGGCTGTTCATGTTTGAAATTTGGGAAAGTAGTGGCCTGCTGAATTTGATAATTGACTGGTTCTACCGCTTATCGTCACATCCCATTCCAAATTTTCCAGGGAAGAGAAGCCCACCCTCTGTTATTGATGAAGAGACAGGTGTAAGGTTGAATGACTCCCTTGGTTTCAGTTTCTGGCAGATTGCCAGGCTTGTCATGCATATTCATCAATGGGGTTGAACAGGCTCTCTAGAATCGTCACTTGTGTCACATGAACACACTGCCAGGTAATTGATCTGAGGTTGATTGGAACTGGGTCTTAACTTTTTAGCAACATTCATGGAATAAGTTTGATTTTCGATAAGAGTATTGTTGGCTGAAAATTCGACTTGTTAAAAGGCAACATGAATGACCTGATCATTTATATGCAGACAAATGCCATAAATACTCTTGAAGTCATTCGTTTACAACATTTGTCCAATAGTTCACAGCGTAACTCAGATTTTTGTCACACAGAAGCGCCGCCATGGAGCAATATTTGTTACAATGCTGGCCAACTTCAGGCTCAACACACAGTGTGTTTCTACAGCCTTCCTGGACATCATGCATAATTGTGTGAACAGAGAATGAATGGGGATTGGGCATGTATGCACATTGGCTGTTGGATGCCCAGAGAATGGTTGGCATATTAACTGGTCAACTGCCTTCTACAAATATAGATTGCCTGATAGTGTTTATACTGCTTCCAGTGTAAACTTGTGAAGAAAAATTGGTTTAAATTGGGAAAAATGTCTAGTTGATCTTGGAACATTGTGTGGTGTTGGCCACCCACCAGCGCCGCCTCCTTAGAAAAGGAGAAACAGAGTAATAGGAATTCCTTCTCCCGGGCACCTGACGCTCATAGGACGACGGTACCTCCCAACATGCATCAGTTTCACTGCAAAAGCTTGCTAAACTGTGAATGTGTACGTGGTGAATTCCCATCAAAGGAGCATCACGGTGCACAAGTGTACCATTTACCTTCTTGCATGGAGCGGAGTGGTTATCAGCATCTCAACCAACCTTAGGGTGGCCCCAAACCACGGACCACACCAGATCAAGCTGGTAGTGTTTGCAAGTTTATCGACAGTAGTAAACCTGATTGTATTCTATGGTACTTCTAGTGAATGAAATCATGGAAAATTTAAAGATCAGATCAGCGATGGAATTGCCGAAAATTGAGCGATGGATTAAGCAGGTGCTTTACGGCTCCCTCACAAAAGCACAGTACATCCGAGGACCAGTCGCAAATACCAGTCGTTTTTCATCAGTGTAGCTGGTAATGACTTAAGCTCGGAAGATGGAGTTGAATTCTATCAAATTGGTATGAGAAACTTTGTCAGCAGACATGTAAAAACACTCACATAATGTGCAGGCTGTCAGTTTCAGGGAACTAGAACTTGGAATGGTGTGTGTGGCCATTTGTACTTTGTACGAATTTAGATTTTGAATTTTGGTGCGTCTTGAATATTGTTAGAAGGTACCGGTAATTTCGACATCAATTTTGCATCAACTGTTGCTCTTAGAAAATTTTTTTACATAGGAATTGCAAAAAAAAATAAAATAAATAAATAAACAAAATAAATTCAGATTTACATGTACATGTACCTTTGTGTTGTAGTTTTGTTTTGGTGTGTAGTTGCAAACGCAGTTTGTATGAATGTAAAAATTACTGTTACCATTTTGTGAATCATTTTTTCAAAAAAAAAAAAACTCCCAGACCGAAGGTTTAATTATGTGGTGTAAAGTGAAAGACTAGCAAAGCTACATGCCCCTTTTAAAAGGCTCTCATTTTATCTTTAGCTCTTTATGAGTTGTTGTGGAATGCCGAACAAAGCGAACTGTGTGTATGTAAGTTTTAACCACTGTGTGCGTTAATTTATATAATGGGTTTTTGCCTTTACGCAACGTATATATTAATAAACACTGTGTGCTTGTCCGAGAGCTTGCGAAAAAATTCACAAGCTTACTCGGGTGGGACTTGAACCCACGACCTCGTGCTTACTAGTGCAGACTTCTTAACCACTCGACCACGCAGGAGGTTGTGGGTTCGAGTCCCACCCGAGTAAGCTTGTGACTTTTTTCGCAAGCTCTCGGACAAGCACTGAGCATACAGTGTTTATTAATATAAACGTTGGGTAAGGGCAAAAACCCGTTACATAAATTAACATCTCCCCAACGCAAAAATGCATCTTCAAAACATTGTGTGTGTTCAGACGTCAACAGGCAGACGACTTGGGTTTTGTTGGTGGGGGGGGGTTCTTATTTTATTTGTATAATTTTGTAGGTTTTAGCTAGATTTCTCTTTCAAAATAATGATTCCTAAAGAAACCTTTACACTTAGGTGAGATGGATATTAACCCTAACCCCTGGGTGTATATAAAATCATATTGAAATCGGAGGATTTGGGACTGTGAGGGTTAAGCCTCATAGTCCTTATTACTTCACCTGTCACAGGATTATGGACTGTTTGTGATGAAGGATGGCAGTCTACATTTAATTTGGTATTTTAGGTAACTTTTGCACATCACTGAACTTTTAGCCAGCACTATAAATAGCATATGAAGTGCACAGATTATCAAAGGTCAAAGAGCAAACATCAGATGTAAACATACATGTAAGAAATCGATAATGTCTAAGATGCTTTTGAGTACTGTGGGTACTCTCTATGATTAGAAAGTTCAATAGATTGATGGACAATGTTTCGTTGTTAAGATGAAACTCGAGAGCAGACGGTTTAAATTTAACGTCCGATTCGAAAACTGTGATTCAACCTAGGCGTTCTGGAAAATTAGTAATATACTTATTATTTGAAACCACTTAAGTTTTGTATCCATTATGGCAGTTTGATTGGTACTGACAACTTGTAAAGGGGACCCCATTTGTTGTATGCAGAAGGCGAGTGTAGATTGAATTTTGGAAGGTCTGGAAGCCACGTTGGTGGTATTCCCAACCCTAAAACTTAATAGGAAGTTTGTGAAGTTATTAAAAATCTAACAAGGCAGCCGGCCCACCTAAATCGTGCCTTGTATATACCTTTTTATTTCTTCATCGAAGAAATGCTTTATTCTAGATTTGTGTTTATTTTGCTGTGAAGATAGTTTGGCATTTTTCATTTGATTTCTAACAGGCTGTCTCAATATTGTATTTGGAGCAAAAGTGCCGGTGAACATAACCTTCTAAACAGTTGCAACTGTTCCAAACAAGCCTGTCGAAAGCATTTATTTTTCACTGCTTTGTGTTGGAAAAGCAAAAGAAAAAAACCCTCCCACCCCCTCCCAAAAATGCACACAAAAAACACCCCCCCTAAAAAAAACCCTCTCAGTTTGTGCAGTGCGCACTAACCAGATGTCTAATGTTCATTTGCCCACGTCTGGTCATGTATCTCACGAGGAGATAATGTTTATGTAAGCTGTTAGTGTCAATGTTTTAAGTGCTGTTGTATGCGTGATGGCATTTGGGTTTTTTCAAACCGTACCTTGACTTGCTTGGCAGTATGAGTTAGCAAGGGCACCAGTTGGTATAACCATGTGGAGTAGACGGTACGAGTATTCCCAAGGTACGAGTTGACCTGTTTCCTTTTATCCTAAATGCATACAGTATTAAATCGGATACAAAACCACTGTATCAAAATGTGTACAGAATGTACCGGACTGTCAGTTGTCTGTGTGATCCTTTCATTGTCTGTACTTGTGATTTTTTTACCAAAGAAATAAATGTGAAGAGCATTTATGGCGCATCTTCTTCGTCACACAGCTTTTACTTTGGATCTTTTTGAAGTATGGTGAAAAGAACAGTCAAACATCAAAATCAACTGACTTGGGCAGGTTTGCAAGCTTAAGTAACGTTTATACAGAGCACAAGTATGCAAAGTAGGTTTGCGGTAGCGCCATGCAAAAAAACGTTCTGAAAAGAACGAAAGTGTACTCGGCAGTCTGTTCGACAACGCATGCATCTTTTTAAAGAACAATGACATATACAAATTAAATTCGGAACCCCATACACATCCCGGGGATGGGGACATATGTCCCCAACTTTTTGAGTGGGTGCGTGTGTGTGGGGGGAGGGGTGTACAAACTGCTATCATTGTGTTTGGAAAGAGGAAGCGTTCACAAGCCAATGACTGGTACGATTCCAGCTCCAGCATTCTCGACCCTCTCATCCCTGCAAACGTACACAAACAAACTTTTACCAGAGTCTCCCAAAGCCCTTCAGGCAGCCAGAACTGAACTCCATAAAGCTGTGTGGTCCCGCATTAACCAATACTGGACTGACCTTTACAGCATGACGATATCAAGAAAGCGATCGGTCCTAGAGTCTGCAAAACAGCCCCGTTGAAAACAAAATTAAGAGAGGTCATCACACACAAAGCCAAACAGCTAGATCGCTGGGTAGAGCACTACTCCCAGCTATACTCCTTGGAGAATCTTGTTCAACAGTCTGCTTTAGACACCATCGACCGTCTTCCCATGGTGCCTGAACTTAATGAGCAACCTATTATTGAGGAACTCTTCAAAGCCGTAGACAGGCAGTCCTTCCCTGGGGCCATCCGGGGAGGTCCCAGGGAAGGACTGCATTTCAGCTGAAGTCATCAAGTGCGGTAAATTAAGCCTGTTGTTGCCTCTGCACAAGCTCCTTACAAAGTGATGGTCCGAGGGAGAAGTTCCCCAAGACATGGGGATGCTATTAACATTGTCACCCTGTATAAGAATAGAGGAGACAGCAGCGATTGCAGTAATTATCATGGTACATGTATATCGCTGTTAAGCATTGTTGGAAAACTGTTCGCTCGCATCGTGCTATACAGATTGCAAGCGCTTGCAAACAAAATTTACCCAGAGTCACAGAGTGGTTTCCGTTCAAAAAGGTCAACAGTGGACATGATCTTTTCAGTCCGCCAACTTCAAGAAATATCCAGAGAGCAGAACTAGCCCCTCTTCCTGGTCTTCATAGACTTAACCAAAGCTTTTGACCTCGTCGGCTGTCCAGCAAAACTCCTCAGCATCATACGCTCTTTTCATGATGGCATGATGAGCACCGTGCATTTCGATGGCGACATGTCCACAGTTTGTTGTCCAGAGTGGAGTCAAACAGGGATGTGTGCTCGCGCCAACCCTGTTTGGTATCTTCTTTCCCCTGCTCCTTAAGCATGCCTTCAAATCCTCAGCAAACGGTGTATACCTACATTCAGTATCCGATGGCAGTCTCTTCAATCTTGCAAGACTACGTGCCAAATCCAAGATGAGGGCCCTCGTCCTCAGAGACCTGCTATTTGCAGACGATGCTGTTGTAGCATCCCACAGTTAGGCTGGGCTCCAGAGACTAATGGACAGGTTCTCAGATTCTTTAGATGTATGCGGACTCACCATCAGTTTCAAGAAGGCTCAGGTCATGGGCCAAGACACTCCAGTGCCACCATGCATCACCGTCAGGGAAAAGACCTAGGGGTTGCCCACCAGTTTCAGCATCCTGGTTCTACTTGTTCAGACTGTCAGCAATTTGACGTTGACGTAAACAAGCGAATCGGAAAGGCATCCACCATCCTCTTCAAACTGACAAAGAGGGCCTGGGACAACAAACATCTTACCCTCTTCCCCAAGTCAATGTCCTCAAAGCCTGTGAGGTCAGTACTCTCCTATATGGTAGTGAGTCGTGGACAACGTATTCCGCTCATGAGCGGAAACTCCAGGCGTCCCATATCTGCGCAAGATCCTTGGAGTTAAGTGGCAAGACTAGGGTGACAAACAAAGAGTTCCTCTCCAGAGCAGGCATCCCTTCAATGTTCACTCTTCCTCGCCAGAGACGGCACTGGCTAGGCTGTTCACAGGATGGCTGACGGACGCATTCTGAAAGATCTCCTCTATGCGGAACTTGCTGTTGGTAGAAGATCTAGCGGTCGCCCTCAGCTGCGATTCAAGGATGTATGTAAGCGGGACATGAAAGCCTGCAACATCAACACCGCAACATGGGAATCTGTGGTTGCTGATAGACCATGGTGGAAGCAGCAAGTGGTACGTGAGTTAAAAACCAGCGAGGAGTCCTTGCGTGGCCGAGCTTAGCAAAGGCATGAAAGGAAGAAAGTCAGACTACTACCTCGAACCAAACCATCCACATGTACATTTACACGCCCGAGCTGAGGAAGAGCCTGCAAGTCTAGGATCAGCCTCCACAGTCACACCAGGAGATGCAGGGTTCCCTCCAGCGCGTTAATCGATAGTTGATGACGACTGACGGATGCCAACCAACTAACCGAAAATGTGCAATAATACGGGCGACTCACAATTACAGTGCCCTGTGCGCCTCCAAGAGTTTGCAACGCGTTGGCCTATCACGATGCACAAAATCTGTCGACCCAATGCGTGTTGGAAAGGGTCGACGGATTTCGTGCGTTGTGATTGGCTGACGCGTTGCAAACTCTTGGAGGCGCGCTATTGTGAATTGCCCGTATTGCAGAGCTAGACGGTAACAAAACTATGACGTTTCAAGTGTTTCTATTTCTGGTAGCCTGTGGATAAGAATAATGGTTTACATTGAAGGCCTTGTGACCTTTTGGAAATAAAACGAAAAGCACTTTTCATAGCCCAGACTTTGGCCAAAAATAGCGGAAGCACACTATGACCCGTTACCATAGCAACCAGCTCAATATGAAGTCAAGTATGTCCCTCCTCCACATTCCGCCATTCTTCAAAGAACTAAGCTTGTTAATTTAGATATATTCACTTTCATTTTTTCACCAGTAACACAATTTGAGATGACCACTTGCTTTCACTCACTAGCGCCTACGTGGTCAGAAACTTTGACTCTTCAAATCGCCTTTTTCAGTATTTTGTTATGGCCAGACGACTGTAGAGTCCAAGTACCATACATATACCATGGGCTATGAAACAGGTACTTGGGCTCTGCGATCGCCCAAAAAGGCGATTCGTTGTGTCCAAGTTATACACTTCCAGCACATTTTGAAATCTTGAGAACTGATGCTTTTACGAGTCCATCGGAGGTTACCGTCACCACAAAACTTGCTTATCCATGGGACGTGCCCCACAGATGTGAAAACACCACAAGCTTTAAATTAGGGTTATTCTGAATGTATATGATCAAGCAGCTGCATGGTTTCACATAAAACCGGGCCACGTTACAGAAAACAGCGAATTACGTTTTACATGCTTCCTAAAGTTTGTTGCTTCCATAAACAGGACAATACACAATCCATTCAATGTTGCCTGTATACTATTTTGTACTTTTATTCTGCAATTGTCATGTTTTATTATGGAGTACCAATTCGGTCAAAACCTTGCTTCTGTGGATGAAGCCTGTTTCATACATGTCGAAAATGCGACAAATAGGCCTATGGCAAAAGTTATGTTGTGACTAAAAATGAGAACATTAATGAATCCAGAAATTTTGCCAAGGAAGGTCAGGCCCGCACGACGTTTTAAATGACTAAATGTTTAAGTTACTCGTGATTGATCCTTGCTTGGGGGATGTGTTAGATCCGAGGGGGCAGGGGAGTTGATTCTCGTTGGATCCGCGCCTGAAGAAAATAAAAATAAAAAACTTAAGGCCATAATGGCTCCCAAAACACATTTTACCAGGTTTCAAAGATCTCTGCACATCATGTCCGATCTGAATGGCCGGTGTACATGTATAGGCATATATATGTGGTGGGTACCGTGAAGTAAGACGGAGACGGGGAATGGACCCATGATTGCCCAATTCGAACTCTCCAAACGTCTGACATGATGCCACTATCGGATTTATCCCTAGGCTGGTTCAATAAGGATTTTCTTGGCAGTATTTACTGTAAAAAAAAACAAAAAAACAAAAAAAAAAAAACAACACACACCGCTTGCTATTAAGGAAAATGAGGGCGCACTATGCTTTATGACGTCCGACCACGGACGTATATAAAAAACCTGGACTTGCAACGCCTTTGTAGGGGGAGGTTCTTTCCTCTCTTTGCACCACTGAGGCCCAGGTTCGAGTCCCGGCTTGGCCTAGGCTTTAAGTGCATTTGGTTTCCAGTCCATACTCGCTCTCGCAGGTTTTCTCCGGGTTCTCCGGTTTCCTCCTGCCTCTAAAACTGGACCTTCTTCCTAACTCCGTAATGTGATGCTGATTAATAAAGTGTATGAATAAACGTATAGTTATTGGCGCACATAGCCTGAGTTGCTGGAAGCGCCATTAAGACAAAACAACAACAACAACAACAACACCTTTGTATGAAAAAGAAACCAACCAGCGGCCATTTTACCGAGTCAAATACGAAAGCGTGGGGTGGCTCCGGTCGTTCTGTTGACGTCAGGAAGAACAAAGGCGGCCATTCAGTGCCAGGAAAGCTTTGTATTCGGCTGGGTACTAAAATGGCCGCGAGCGGATTCAATGATCTCTATAAACTGATTAAGGGTGCAGACCACTAATTCAAGTGAGAATTTC